ACAAGAGCAGGGAGGATTCCCCTTCTGCAGAGTGTAGGTACAGCTGCTACAGTCTCTCCCAAGTGAGTACCCTGCATCCCTTTGTTCTTCTTATCACACCTCTGGCCAATGCAGCCACTGTTCAGCCCTGGGAACAGCAGCTACTCACACTGTGACCCAGGCACTTGAAGAGGAATGATGTTGTAACTTGCAAACACCTTCTCAGACGATCAGAAGCAGCAGAGTTGAAGTCCAGGGTGAGGTACCAACAGTCCAATGATGTTAAATTAATTGCTCTGTTCCTTTCTCTTTTTATTTTTTCCTTCCTTCCATCTCCAGTTTCTGTCTCTTCCTCTCCTCTCCTTCATCAAGTTCCTCGCTCCCCACCTCAATTTCTTTCTTTTTAGTCTTGCTTTCATTTTAATCTTTCTCCATCTCTTCCTCCCTTCCCCTCTTTTTCGGCATTTCATTCTCTTTCTCAGTTTCTTTCTCTCACTTGCTCCCGACCCCCCTCATCCACTTCTCTCCTCCCTCTCCCTCGTTTGTGTCTCTGTTCCTTTCTCTCTTTTGCTCTCTGGTCCCCTAGTTTTCTGTCATTGGGAGGAAAGCCCTTTGTGGTCAAGGCACTGTTGGCGTGGCCTGAGGGCATGGTGAGTACTTGGAGAACTGGAAAGCTGGATGTGGCATTATCAGCTCAGCTGGTCAGAGCATGATGATGGTTAACCCCCAGTTGTGGGTTTGATCCCTGTACAGGCCATTCATTTAAGAGTTGGACTTGATGATCCTTGGGTCCCTCCCAACTCAGAATATTCTTGATTATTGTAAGGAACTTCTTTCTTAAGGTCGGAAACACTTTCTCCACGTTTCAGTGCCTCCTATCTTTCAGGGCCAAGCTGTTTAAGGTCAGAGAACTCCACAGTCCACACGAGGCAGCAGCTTTAGTGGAGCTCATCAGCTGCATCTATTTTAAACCTTCTCTTAGAGATGGTCCTTTATGCCTGCAATGGGCCCATGTTTTTCCCAAGATCAGTTACCTGTGCATCAGCACATTTCAGGTCACAAGCAGCCTGACTCCAGAAATAGTGTGTTGATGCAAAATGACTCCTGCTCTCCAGATAAGGCAGCAAATCACAAAGTGAGGAGAAACTGCTTTTCCTTAACCCTCCCTTTATATTCCACTCTGATTCCAAAAAGTGCTTAGCCAAGCTTTCCAGGATGGCTGGTGGCAAGGCCAGGTCAGCCCAGTGCAGTGTGTGGGACTTCTAAGCCTTTCCCACTCATGCAGTTTGAAGTAGAGAATTGGCCCACGGTGCTGTCATTTAAGGAACCTGCAATGTTACCTTTCATCATTGAGCATTTGGGAACAAATCCTCAGGCCATCAGATGAGAGATGAGCTCCAACAGTTTCAAGTGCTCCAAGTGTATCATGATTTTTCCACAGTCAGACCAGGCTGTTCATTTTGGAGGGTCACTACAATATTGTCCAAAGGGAGCAGGGATTTTTGGCATCCACTTACGATTCCCAAAGTTGTTGTGATGTTTGCTAGTCAGTCAGCAGGTTTAAAAAGATATCCAAGGTTTCCCTTCCTTGGTGCCCAGATCTCAGTGTCACAGATACAGTTTTCACAGCTTCACACATAGAGATGCTGTCTCTGAGGAGCATCACTTACAGTGACACGGGAGTCAACACAGGGCGTCATCTTTTCCTAAATATATATAATTGCTGCCTAGTAAACTACTTCCATATTTAGTTATAACATGAGAGGATTCCTTGTGTGCAAACCTCAGCGTGTTTAGGAGGAGGAGGACCTGCCAATCCTGAATGCTGTTGCTGCAAAAACACTGTGGTCAGTGCAAAAGGTCGTCTGACGTCTCCAGCTACCTTCCCCAGTTAGATTACAAGTCCTTAAAGTATTCTCTGGAAATGCAGTGGTGCAGAGCTGGCCAGGAACCTTGAGGGACCTGTATGTGTTCCTGCAGGAAGAGCCAAGTCTCATTTACCATTTCTTGTATCTGCTTGTAGAATCTGCCCTCAGCAGCTCTGGGATGTGCCAAGGTCTATGCATGGCTGCTGTGTATATGCACAGCATATACATTCTATATAAATTAAGCTCTAATGATAGTGTCATTGTGATTTCCCAGTGGCTGCAATCTCTTTGCTTCCTCATGGAGTCACTGGTGTTCCCCAGACTTGCTCAGGCTGCACAGCACCCCAGGGCACTGGCAAGAACGGCTGGGGCTGGGAGATGTTGCTGCCCTGAGGCTCTTTCTCATGGTCAGCCTTTCCTCATTTTTGTCCTGTTCATACATATTCTGCAAAGTTACCCTACATGGGATGAATAAAAAGCCAATGACTCTCAGCTGCTTCTTTCCACCCAGCGTTCAGTTCACTTATTAAGCAAAGCTCCTTTATTGCTCCAAAAGGCAGGCAGGAAGCACTGGTTGGCAGTGCAGAGCCACCAGGTTTAGGGATTCCCTGTATTCTCAGGGTGTCAGGCTTGGAGATTATGGTTTCATGTTATTAGAGTTGTTCTCAATTCCAGTTTTAGAAAGTAAAAACAAGTTCCTCTTCATATAAATCCTTGTAAACTTGTGAAGCATAGATTTACAGTTGCTCTTCTTATAGAACTTTATTTATTTAATATTTATTTATTCTAGCTTGAAATCACAATTCCATTGCTGGGAAACACTAATGCAGTGCAAAACATTAATTTCCTCTCATGCCTAGAACTGTTACCCTAGTAGCAGTACTGGAGATTCTGAATATTACTCCAGAAAATTCAAGACCTTATTCCTGAAATTTAATTGTTTGAAAACAGTAAATACTTAAATAACTTCAGAATTAAATTGTAACTACTGAAAGCAGTGCTTGGATGTGCATGCAAAAGAATCTGTGGCCTTTATTCTCTACAAACAGACGTGGTTATAAAGACTCAGAGCAGAAGGAAGTGACAGGAGGTTCACATTTTGTGCAGCCCTCAGGTCACTTTGTTGCCTCATGGCATCCTCACTCTTCCTCTTCTATCTTCTTCCCATGAAACTCCCGGCTCTTCACTCGGAGCTTGTTGACCTGGGACTCTGCAATGTCAGCCCGTTCCTCGGCTTCCTCCAGCTCGTGCTGGATCTTGCGGAACTTGGAGAGGTTGACATTAGAGAGCTCCTCCTGTGTGGGGAGAGGGGGTTGGTGATGAAGAGCCCAGGGCAGGGATTTCACTCCTCCTGCACCTCGGCCTTGTGGGGCTGCAGCTCTTCCCTGGGGGAGGCACAAACCTCCATCCCCCTCCTGGAGAATTGGTGATCCCAGGCATTTTCCAAATTCTGATATTCATCTCCTCAACACCTGTATGACACCCACAGAAAGTAACACTTGCTATTTCTCCAAGCAATACTTACAGCTTCCTCAGCCTGTCTCTTGTAGGATTTAACCTTCATTTGCAGCTTGTCCACCAGATCCTGCAGCCTGAAAATATTCTTCCTGTCTTCCTCAGACTACAGCGGTTGATAAACAGGAAAGAGAGTGAATTACTGCTTTCTGCACATCACAAAATAACATTCACCCTTGGAGTCCAGGTGAAAAGCTTTTTTTTTCCTGGAATGAGGGTGCATCACCCCAAGGAGGCCTCCAGCCTTACCTGGTAGGTGAGTTCCTTCACCCTCCTCTCGTACTTGCGCACACCCTTCACGGCTTCAGCGCTGCGCTTCTGCTCAGCATCAACCTCCCCTTCCAGCTCCCGCACCTGCAATGAGGAGCCCATCCCTGCAGCTTCCCTGGGGTGTCTCTCCAAGGGACAGGGTCAC